GCAACGAGCATGGAAATCAAACACAAACATGGATTGTCTACTTACCTAAGAACGAAAGTGCAATTAAACTAATTAAGCCTGAAATTAACTAAATTCAACAAGAATTTAACCTAATTAAATTAACTATGTGGTACAACCCATCTAGTAGAAGAAAATTCCATCAAATTAAAACACAATTACATCCAATTAACACAATGCATAGCCATCACAAGATTCAATTCATAAAGAAATCAAGTGTAGAGATTAATTATCAATCAAAAACATATAAGACAACATGAAATTGACATAGATAATCAAATGAAAGAATTAATTTATATTTCAAGGCTATACAAAAATTACACAAATAAATCCCCAAAAAGTGAAAAGAGAGAGAGATTAGGTTACATGTTTAGGGTTTATCCAATCCTAAGTAGAAGATTTAGCCGCTCATAGTTGATGGATTTAAGGTGTCAACAAGTTCCATCATCTGCTTCATCATCTCTCAGCTTCTTCTTAAAACCCTAGCCTGTTCTTGTTTTTTCTCCTCTTTCGCGTGTTTTTTCAGAGAGAACGTGATATTGGTACAGAATATAAAACTTAATAATTAAAATAATAATCTCCACTTCAATAAAATAAAAACTAACCCTAAACTAATGGCTCACTGGGCCATAAGTAATAACCCTATTAAAGTCCAATAGTTCACAAAATAAGCCCAAACAATAAGAAAATCCTATAATGTTGTCAAGTCCTGGAGGATCGATCCCCCAAGAGTTGGAAATTTCCTTTAAGCCCTATTTAGCTCCATTTTGGCCCTGAGATCATTGGTTTGCTTCTTCATCTTTGGGGACATCATCAAAGGCCTGAGATTGACCGCTTTTGAAAAATAAACACACTATACGAGCAATGGGCTACGACCTCTTTTTTGCCATTTTCTGAGCTTTTTCTAAATATCTTTGCTTGACTCCAAAAAGGCTTTAGTGAACCAAAATTAGCTCATTTTAACTTTATTACTCTGAAATACACATAAACATAAATTAGGACTAAAACATGAAATTAAGATAAATGCAAAGACTGAAATACCCTAACTTAGGTGTTGAAATGTGCAACATTTAAGCACTTATCACCTTCCCCTTCACTTCTTTGGATGAAAGTACACCTGATTTCCCACACAATTATCAAGCAAAACTACCGGTGAAAGTTTAATTAAAAAAAATCTCCCCTTAAATTGATCATTCATACATATCTCTCCCTTTTTTTGGAACAAATTGACAAAGACTGATAAGGATAGAGAAAAAGAAAGATCAGTGCATTAACATGAAGCAAATCATATAGATCATAAAGAAAGTCCAGAATAATGATAATGTCATCTTAAGAATAAGAACATGATGCATATGTCTATATGAACTTGTATACACAGATTATGAGTAAAATAAAACTGATAGTCAATACATACAATCAATCATCAAAATCATCCCCATAAAAAGGAATAGTAGTAGTTAGCACATCATCACCATCATCACTCCTATCATCCTCATCATCATCCTTATATTTCATAGATATCTCTGGAGCTGTAGGTCTGTAGACATCTTCTATAGAGCCACCAGCCTGTTGTGTCCTAAGCATCTTCACCTCTACCTTGAGATCTTGTATTTCATCTATGATCCTTTCAAACATGGCATTCTGATTCTGAATCAGTGATGAGTACAATACGTTAGCATCATTTCTGTGAAATTCCCTTTAAAGGAAAATAACTTGTTTGAATCTAAAATTTGAGATGATGTTTCATCTGAGCCTCTCTACGCCTTCCTTGCATTATCCCTAGTAGTCTTGGATTTGTTAAGAGAATGGAGATCCAACTCAGTCATGATGTTTTAATGATAAGCTTTGGGAGGAATCATAATTCTATTTTCCCTATAGAATCCCATAATTTCCATAGGAAAGGGAGAAGAATTCCTTCTGTATGAGCTTTCATTAATCTAATAATGGATGATGCAATATAAATCTGTGCTCCTATTGTAAGAAGATATAGAACTTGAGCTCGTTCTGCAGTGATTTCATCATTCTTCCTAAAGTATCCCAGGTTAACCATGCCAAATAAACTCAAGAATGCCGCTTCATCACGAGATGGCATGTAATGATCATACCTTGGAGAGCTCAGTACACAAAGAGCATCATGAATTTCTGGCAATTTTGGACACGAACCTTCAGGTGGTAAGACATATCCTGTACTGCTAGCCCTCTTAAGAACTCCCAGAATAACGTAAATTTCATCTTTATAGACTAGATAATCAGTTCCAAAGATTGATACTTCAAAGTATCCATTATAAACTTTGCGGATATTAAAATAGAAGTACTGAACCATGTCTGGTGAAGAACCACCTTCCATTTGAGTAAAGAAGAGCCAATTGTTCTTGTCAATGTACTCCACTAGTTTCTTCCTCGTACTGTCTATAAGCTTATTCAAACTTACATTCCTTTCTGTCTTGACCGGCCTGTCTTTGTAGACATTATTATAAGCTTTCCAAGCAAGTTCATTGTAGAATTATTCTTCAGTGAACTCAATCTTCCTTGTGGCTGAAATAGATGGATACCCAGTTGGTATCTCATAAGGACGAGAATTAGATGTCATGGGAGAATATGGCGCATCTAAAGGAGTGTGTGACTCATCGTGAGGCTTACGAATGACAATGCCGGTTCTAGCACGCTTTGGAGGTTTAGGAGTTGCAATTCTTTTGCTTTTAGCTTCTTTAGACAATTTTGGAGCCATTTGATATTCGGGAAAATTCACTTTGAGGCTTCAAAACTCTTTCGTGAATTTTGTCAAACACTTGGTGTGCAACCCCAAAAGTATTCTTCATAAAGGTTGAATTCAAATCTTTAAATCCCCAAAAATCAACAACAAAGCAATATTCAACCCAATTTTCAATAAATCAACTCCCAAGATCTTCAATCTCGTCACCACAATGATATTTTAACCAAAGATTAACGAAATCCACAAATTTGTTCAATCCTAACCTTCAAATTCAATCCCAACTTCATATCTCAAATCAAGTAAACAATATGATTGAAAGAATTTCCAAGCAAAGATTATGTTTTCTTAAGGTTTAAGATGCAAGATTGATTCTATGTAGTGATATGTGAAGATGTATGTAAGAGATGGGGTGAGAGGAGTTAAAAAATACAGTCAAAGGTGTATATAATATGACCCAAGCGTGCTTATATGAGGAATTTAAGTGCCTAGGTGCGGCACCTTGAATTGGTTCAGGATTGGCAGTGGCTATATGAAGAACCTAAACACATCTTGAACCGGTTCAAGTCTGGCAGATGCAAATTCAATACTGCCTTACATTCTTAAACTAGTTCAAGTCCTCCAGCATTGAATCCACAGACTAACAATTTTCCAAATTTTTTTTTTCACACACCCATTGATAAAAAATACAGAAACTTAAAAAAACCATTGAGCAATTTAATCTCATAATCTTTAAGTGGACACATAATCCAAATTTTTAGAAAATTTTATGAATGTCTATGAACACAAATACATGACACCATAGAATTATCAATGATATTCAAATCTCATAATGCAATCACAATATGAAATTCAACTTGCACTTTTTAAAGAAAAATTTAGAGATTCATCTAGCAAATTCGTGTGTGTGTGTGAAATCTAATCTCATCAAATTTCAATCAAATTTCGTCAAATCATTGTCTAAATCATATGAATCGAAAAGCATCAAGATAGATTGTTCTTGAGCAAATTTTCTAAGTAAGGCAGCTTTCACTCTAAAGAGCAAACATCAATTCCCTATTTCAACTTGTCTCCACCTTTCTTTTTTCTCAAATAACTCCACTTCAAAGTCTAATAATAGGAGCTTTTGACCCAAACTCAATAGGGAGCATTTTCCTTAACAAAGAGTTTAGCAAATTTCAAATTTTTTCTTTTCTTTTCATGCTGAATATATATTTTTTCTTAAAATTTTCATGCTCATATTTTTTTTTAACAATAATCTTTATAGTTTTTATGAGCAATATAACCTAGTCAACATTTCAATGATTTTTAATTAATTTCATTGGACTAGTACACAAAAAAGATATGAACTCGAGAGATTCAAATTTAAAATTCACATAACATAACAATCTTATCTAGATAAAATCAATTGAAAAGAATTAGGAATGTAAATAAGGAAATTCTTAAATAAGGAAATTGAGACAAATTCAAACTCAAATCTGCAATACTATAAAGTCTCAACCAAGATAAGGGCCTTGGTATTAACATTCAAAACGGAGATTCAAAGTGACAGTCACCTAATTAGCAAGCAATATGTTGTAAACAATCAGGAAAGTATAATCCTTATATAGATCTCTCAAGTGAATCTCCTCCTCAAAATACATAAATTAAGAAGGTTTATGTTTCAAATTAATGAAAATTGGATACAAATAGATTCATGTCTCACATTAATAGAAATGCATTTCATAAATTCGATGAACAAACTTAGCTATGTTCATCCTAAAATTAGGTGAATCAAATAGATTAATTAAGAATACCAAATGTCAAAGTGTAAAAACATCTCATTTGTTACATGAACCACCCAAAAGCATATATATACTTATGAACACATATAAACTTAATTGTTTAAGGGAAATTAATTAAAATAATAATTATTTAATTATATACATATTCATTTTTAAAAACATTATAAAATTATTTTAAAACATTTTCCAACACAATCTTGAAGTTGTTCACATGAGATTAGGGAAACAAAGATTTCGCTCACTCAATCATGTAAGATGTAACCTGCATTAATATTAGTGATTTTTGTCCCCACATCAAATTTGAATGGAGAAGATTTTGGACATATATGAGTGGGCATGTAGCATAATAACATATCTTAAACTTTTGAGTCAGATGACAAGCACTGCCAGATCAGTATTATCAACGCACACCAATTGTCAATTCGGTGTCATGCCAAGCGTGCATTGGATAAATTCACATTGCCATTGCGTTAAGCTACCATTCAAATTCTACAAATGTCATCTTTTTATTTGTAAACTCTTTCTCCTTTTCTGAATCAGAGTGGGTTCTAATAGAAATCAAAGTTGCTACCATTTCAATGATCTATAATCCATTTACCAATACAAGCAAGCGAGATTTAAGATCATACAAACTAGGATTTGAATAGGACTACTAAAAATATTATTATATTACAATGATCTTAAACATAGTTTGCTCAAACATCATTGGTTTTAATAGAAATTGTGTGTGTCTCATTTCAGCAATGAATTGCCTCTGCTAATAATCATTTTGGATGGTGCAGAAGCATCTCTATCACTTGGCTCATGGTTGGTCTTGCATCTTTGTCTTCCTCTACACAATGCAGAGCAACTCCAACCAAAATTTCCATCTTATCCATGTCATAGTTACCGTTCATCATAGGGTCTATGATTTCTTTGATCAACGATGTCATCAAAGCCCCTCTACTCCTTTTCTCCCTCACCCACTTAACCAACCTTCTCTGTTTCATCTCCCCTTCGTTCCCAATGGCGTTGACGCTTGTAATAGCACTCTTTCCGGTAACCATCTCCAACACAACGATCCCAAAGCTATAAACATCAACTTTTGAGGTTATAGGGAGATTGAAGACCCACTCAGGAGCCATGTAACCTCTAGTTCCTCTTATCCTCGAGAAACTCGGATTGTTCTCACCACCTCTGTTCAATATTTTTGACAGGCCAAAATCCGAGACTTTTGGCAGGAAATTAGTGTCCAAGAGTATGTTGTGAGGCTTTACATCACAGTGTAAAACCCATTCCAAGCACTCTTCATGTAAATAAGCAAGGCCTTTGGCTGTACCCACTGCAATATTGAACCTCTTCTCCCAGTCAAGTGTGTTTGATTGTAAATTTTCTGCTAAGGAACCATTCTCCATGTATTCATACACCAAAAGTCTGTGCTTTCTCTCAGCACAATATCCCCACATCTCTGTCAAATTCATGTGGTTAAGCCTTCCAATGGTGCTCAACTCTGCCAAGAAATCTTCTTCACCTTGGTTAGCTTCATTCAAACGTTTGATTGCAGCCACTCGACTATCGGACAATATGCCTTTATATACTACCCCACAAACACCTCTTCCTATCTCTTCACTGAATCCTCGAGTCACCTTTTTCAGCTCCGAAAAGGTGAATTTTCTGAATCCAGTTGCAGCAGGGAGATAGCCTTCCATTGCTGCATGTGACCTTTGTCGGGTTCTATACAAGCAACACCATACCAAAAGGATGCAAACTATCTCAAACAATCCAAATCCACCAGTAAACCAAAGAAAGAATCTCAGTTGCCAGATTTCGCCTTCTCTTTTATAAGCCCTGTCTAGCTGCTTGGTGTCGTCGTTTGAGCAACCCAACCTGAATTCCTCCAAAGGCTCGTTGTCGGATACTAGATCTTTTGGCGCTTTAAAATACAGAACTCCTCCAAAGTTCCCATGTCCATTGCGAAATTCCCTTTTGGGATAACAGTCATAAACTCCAGTTTCGTAGTTAAATCTGTAATGGAGCCCTCTGCAGTTGCACAACTCCAAGCATCGATTCTTACACATCTTTAACGAGTAATTACGCCAGATATAGAGATTATAGCCATAGAAATCAGCTTGGGGGAGTTTGATAAAGGCTGCCTCGTGATGTTTGCATGAGAGATTGAATTCGGGTTCACATCCATAAGACAAGTCTGTGTGATTTATCATCTTGAACCTTGGTAGGCACGAGCATTTCCTACCAACACTAGGATCATAAGTGCATAGACTGTTAGGTCCACAAGCACCATGAATCCTACAGGTTTTGGAAATGGCTTGCCACGAAACAACCCAAGTCCCACTTGGCTCTTCTAGGCTGTACAGTCGAAGGTTTCCATCAGAATCAAGTGTCAGTCTTCTTTGAGGCCCCTTGCCAAAATCAGTTGCTTGAAACTCCACACGATCGGATGACTTGAAATGGCCTCTGGAATCAAATACAGCATTTCTGGTGTCATTGTACCTGTTGGAAAATAAATAAAAATTTATTCATTACATACAAATCGCCACAAATTCGTCGTATAAATATATATATTTTTTCCAAACTTGCAGTGCCATGAATAACAAAAATTAAGTATAATCAAATATTTAACAATTATAATAACAAAAATGTTATTAAAATTTAAAATTATGGTAAGAAATTAAAAAAAAATAAAACTATAATATTTATTTATATATTCATTATTAATAGGGGTGGATTCGAGGTTTTGGAGGTTTTAAACTTTCTTTCCACTTTCCAAATTTACTCGTAACCCTAATTGTCAAACCGATCCATACTACACATCTCCAATTAAAATTCAAGATTTAATATTGAATCTGATGTGACGATAAGACATTAATGTCCTATATTTTAATATATATTATATTTAATTCTTTTATGTATTTGTGTTATCTATTTTAGCAAACTAAACATATAAATTGTCAATTGAAAGAAAAAGAAAGAACAAACAATTGCACTAGATTTCTTTCTCTATCTCTAATTTGCTTTTCTCTACCTACAATGACGTGTTTAATGTCATTTTTTTTTTAAAAGAAAGACAAAGAGGTTGGACATCTAGATTTATGTTCATAATCTTGTTTTATGCCTGACATGTGTTTGTTTTATATAAGTCGAAGAGTGTGAGATGTATTGGTTGAGTGTCAAAAATGTGTTGACCAAGTGCGTGTGTTTGCCAACTATCTAAAATGTGTCGGACAAATGTTTGAAATAGACACGACCATGAATATCGAACATGTGTGCAGAAGTGTACATGAAGTATCGATGTTTGACAGTGACATAACACTTTCATAGACTAGTCTGTGCTTCTTAGCTTTTGGGGCAACTTCAACTCATAGAGACTTAATGGATCATTTTTTGCCATCATGTATAATACCCCTAATTTTAAAAGGATAGTCTCGGTATTTATTTATTTGTTTTAATTGTATTTTTTTAATTATTTAATTAATTATTTGACTAATTGCTTATGTGTTTAATTGAATTAGGTATTGCTTGATTATTTGATTATGTGTCTATGTATTATTTATATTTGTCTATGTGTTAATTGTTTAATTAGATTATGTGCTTAAATGGTGTTTTGATTAATTGTAAATTAAATGTTTTCTTTTCTTTTATTATTTTATTTTATTTTTCTTTTATGGTTATGGTTAGTAGTAATGGGCCAACCAATTGGGTCCCATGGACTACTTGGATAGGAGGTTGGATGTGTATGGATTATTACCCATGGATAATGTATGTATATATATAGATATATATTATATACATATATAAAAAAGAAAGTAATTTATTTATTATTTTTATGGTAACTTGGATAATAATCTTTAATCTGATGTATATGTTTTATATTTAAATAATAAAAATATACATAGATTTGATACGTGTTATGTTTTAAGTTACTTTATAATATTATGGTAACTTAACTATTATTGGATAATCCATTAATAAATAATGGAATGTGTATAATTTATTTATTTAATAAACATATACATAAATTATATACGTAACATATTTTACTTACATTTTTAATATATATGTCAAAGAGAAAGTAATTTATTAATTACTTTTATGATAATTTGGGTAGTAATATTTAATCTGATGTATATGTTTATTTAAATAATAAAAATATACATAGATTTGATACGCGTTATGTTTTAAGTTACTTTATAATATTATAGTAGCTTAAATATTATAGGATAATCCATTAATAAATAATGGAATGTGTATAATTTATTTATTTAATAAACATATACATAAATTATATACGTAACATATTTTGCTTACCTTTTAAATATATTTTTTTTCATTTTTTTTTAGTTGACTTGGGAAAAGGGTTAGGGTTATTTTATTTAACCTATAAATATATAGCTATAGGTTGTAAAAGGGGGTTAGAAATATTCACGTGATATATACTAGAGAAATAGTGTTAGAGAGGGAAGGAGGAAAAGGAAGGAATGAGGAGAAAAACCCTATTGAGAGAAGATCAAGGAAGAAGAAGTTTAACTTTCGATTCGAAAGTTTAATGTAAGTTCTTCTTCTATCTCTTTCCCTTTGATTCGTGTTTCTGTACATACCTAGGAAATTCCAAGATTTATTAAACACATAAAATTAAATAATTATGCATGTTTAATTGGATTAAAGCATAGGTTTTTATGAAATTGGTTCATATCTGTTCTTGTGTTATGAATTAAAAAATGCATGATTTTGATTTGATTTCTGGTGTGAATTTTTACATGTTTGAATTATGTATTTTTCATATCTGTAGAATGATGGAACGTAGAAACATGCCTAGGATTCCTGAACATTAAATAGGGACTAGATTTGGGTTTAAATAAATTTAAATACACTCAATCATAACGATGCTTGCTATTTCAATGTTTAAACAAACGAATGGATTTAATCTTTTAAAATACTTTAGCAATTGAGATTAAATGTGTAGGATGAATTGGATATATAGAATCCTTATTTAACGGTATAATAAAATATCATCATGTATAAGATTCAGTTTGTGTAGGACATATGATATAGGAAGTTTAAAGAAATAATCAGTCATTCCTATTATGTGATAACTTGATATCATATTTATCATAGTTATTTATGGAATGTTTGATTTATTTCCTTAATTGTTACATCAATTGTTGGATTGTGTGGTTTAATGCACCGATATGGGACGGTGGCATTCTAGGGATGGATTAACTTATCAGTTAAGTCCTACCTATTTTTTATAAGAAAATAGATTAACTAAAATGTTAAGTCCTACTTATATTTAAGTCAGGTCAGCTGAACAAGTTGAATGACTTATGGAGGATTAATTTATTATATAAGGGAATGGATTAACTAAAATGTTAAATCCTACTTATATTCAAGTCAGGTCAGCTGAACAAGTTGAATGACTTATGGAGGATTAATTTATACTGGATAGGATGGTTATTAGATTATATATATATATAAGTATGGTGCCATGATATGAGCTTGAGTCTCAGGATCAATGGTTAGGGTGCGTATATTGCCAGGGATGTGTAGCTAGATATAGTGTAGTTGTGTACCCTGGTAGGTCTAGGTACTCATGCCCACTATATGTGCGTTTTGCATGTTGCCTACTATTCAGGTTGAGACAACCCTATAGTCTAGTGAGGTTCCTTTAGTGTGTATATATATATACGGATTACTAGTTACTGTTGGATTGACTAGGATGTATACGTGTATCGGATCTCTGCTTGGACTGTAGTAGAGTAGAACTTGTTTGTGGGCCTGACCCACCATTATTTTTCAGGTGTTCGTCAGGAGTAGAGGTTGTTCGTGCTGAGCGGGGATCAGTCTACTTCATTCTTCCGATGCTACATAGGAGTTCCTTTATGATTCAGTTTCCTGATTTAGACAGTTATTGTTGCCATTTGTTTAGTTTGGATTTTGTAGGGGTCCACACAGTATGGATTCCCGAGTTGTATTTTGGAGGATCAGTTGTATCAGAAGAGTTTATTAATTAATGGAAATATATTATGAGGTTTATTATTAGATTATCATTTTAGTTTCTTGTCAGCATTTTATTTATTCTTTTTTATTCTTTTATACTCTGTGTTCGTTTATTATCAATTTGTTTTGATATCCTCGGGTATTCGGGCATGGGCCTGGCCAACCCGCATTCGAAAATTCGGGGGTATCACATCATGTAGGCCAATTAATGGATCGAGATAGATTCATACTGGATCAAGCCTAAATTGATTCAAATTCAATAAGAGGTATATCTGATATGATCCGTTATGATAATCCAATGGATTATTTTTAAGTGAATACATATTTGATTTGTAATTTGTTAGAAATAAAGAGAGAATAAGAAAATGTTATATTGTATTGTTTTATATTGAATACATGAAGAACTTATTTATAGGAGAAGATTTGGGGTAGCATGCTAGGTGAGTAATGATCAGGTCATCTATACCTGGTAACTAGCTAGGTAGTTGGAGGTAATAGTACTTTTATAATCTAACAGCCCCTCAAACTTAAGGTGAGTATGAAACCAGCTTGAGTTTGGAGACGAGATCATAAAAGCGGTTCAGAAAAGATTTGGTGGAGAAAAGTACTATTTTCACCCTGATGTAACTGACATGGCACCGATATTAACGTGGTTGATGACATGGCAACTGAAGTGGCAGGTGACTTGGCATTACTGCTGGCACCTTTGTTGCGTGGCAACTGACGTGGCATGACTAATGTGTCTGACGTTGCACCGATGCTGACATGTCAGGCGACGTGGGGTGGATTCGTGAAGATCTTGGAAGTAGGTGTGGAGCGTGGTTTGGGAAACGCATATGGCGCGTGGTGGCGCAGTGACAGAGTTGATCTGACACGTTGTGACGGGATTATCGCTGTTGCATGTGAAAGTGCATGGAAAAGTGGGATTATCACTTGAGGAGCATGGTGGCATGGTGGCGGAGTTGATCCGACATGTCGAGGCGGTGACAGAGTTGATTATGAATTTGAGATTAAAGGTCAAGATACGAAAATATAAGTTTGAAGGTTGATCGTCGTCGAAGATGGGATTAATGGTGCCATCCAGTAGATTATTAATAGATATTAAAAGACTATGTTAGAGATGAAGAGAGAATGAGAAAATATTATATTGTATTGTTTAATATTGAATACATGAAGAACTTATACGTAGGAGAAGATTTCGGGTAGTATGATAGGTAAGTGATGATCAAGTCATTTATACATGGTAACTAGATAGGTGGAGGTATATATGGTAAATGGGTATTTTATAATAAGGGATATAATGATACTTTTATAATCTAGCGTTATTAATTGGATATCAGATTTGACAACCCAATTGTTAAAGAAGTAATATTTTTTTATAAAAAAATTAAATGTAAAATGAGATTAGCCAACAATGATTAGGTAAAAGAAAAGAGAAGCGCGAGAGAAAAATAAAATATATATAAAAAAGAAAGTAGAAAATTGGTGTTTGACTTTTTATTAAGGAAAAAACAATAAAGAGAGACAAAATAGAGAAATGGAAGAGGAAGAAAAAAAATAATGATCAAAAGCATTTAAATAGTTTGTCCACTTTTATTATCAATATTTTATCTTATTAGAACATGTAACAACTATAGTATACATGTCTATATATTTGTATGAACTACATACATACCAAACATAAAATATTCCCTTTTTTTTTTAAATTTTTTGAAAAACTTACTTTTCTTGTCATTATTATTAAATTTAGTACGTCTAACTTTCATTAATATAAATTAGAGCAAAAAAATATTAATTTTCCATTACAGTACCTTGACCTATTAGCTTGATTGCTCAACAACCATGGGTCTGGCCAAAAGATGCTAGACGTTTCAGGACCATCAAAGATCATACGGAGGACGTTATCATCGTCGAAGAACAGCTTATAAAAACCCGAAGCGCAGTTAGTTTGGCTCCTTGATGAGATAAGCTTTGTGTACCTTGTGAGAGGTTGTTCAGGAAGAAGAGTATCTGTTGGTGAATCAAAACTTTGCCAAAAGACAACACCCTCCGGAGTACGGAGAACAAGGTTACCACTGTTGTATAGTTTTAATTGCAGTGAAGAAGAAGTTGAAACAGTGTTTGTGGCCCAAGAAATGGACTGACCAGCATCGGTGAGGATGAGATTTCCAGTTCTAAGCAGAGAGAGCTTCGAGAGTCTTCCATTTATGGGTTGGTCTCGATTTGCCATCCAAACTATGGTGCGATTGTGAACATGGGATGGCTTGGTGAACCATATAGCAAAGCTGTAGGCATTGAGACCGACGGCGTGAAAGCCGGCGGAGAAGATTTCATTTGGCGAAACCAAGAGATCCGATGGTTTCTCCACTGAGAGAGACGAAGCTTTATGTAGAGTATCAGATATTGAACATGATAAGCGAGAAAAAGAAGATAGGAACAAAGACAGTTGGAGGAAAAAAATCAATGTGGCCATGACTAATTGAAAATGGTGCACCAGATTTAGCCAACACATATGTTTGTGTGTGTGTGGGGGGTGGGGGGATGCTAACTTAGTCGCCCAAGGCGTCTGTCAGCAGCCAATAGGCTACGCTGCTGACTTTTGGATTTTTTTTTTTTGTTTTTTTGAACCGGTCACGCCATGGTCCTGTCTCCTTTTTTCTCTGTTCCCTCTATTTCTCTCTCTCTACTTCGAAGTCTTCGGCGGCAGGCAAAGATCATAACCTCTCCTCACCATATTTGGCTCAGTCTCTCTCTAATCTCTCTCCTCACCATGGTGCATGTTTGTAATTTAGAAACTCACTCGGTGGTGTCGGACTGCAACAATTGCGCCATCCAAGATTCAAACTAAATCCAATTGATTTTGGGTTTTGATTTTCCTACAATTTCGTATATGGGTTTGGTTCTGTTAAAATTTTATGACTCAAAATTATTTCATCCACTTGGATCAGCTTTATAATTTGTGGTCATCAAGTTTGGGCATGCAGACTGTTGATCACTTTTTTTTTTCGGAAATTGTGCAATCAATTTCACTTTGTCAAAGTTGTCCCATTTTTTATTTTTATTTTTATTTTTATTTTTATTTTTATGGGAAGGTAAAGTTGTCTCATTTTTCTTAATTCCTTGGTGCACAAGAATATTTGGATCACTCACTACGTCAGCAATTGTCTCAGATTTATAATCAAATGATTTTGGCTTGAAACACAAGATTTAGTCTTGCCTTGTGGGACCATCAACAATGTGTGGTCAATTGAAGCACAAGATTTAGTCTTGCCTTGTGGGACGATCAACAATGTGTGATCAAGAAGCCTTGCAGTGCCAGTAATATCCATCAACAATGTGTGGTCAATTGAAGCACAAGATTTAGTCTTGCCTTGTGGGACGATCAACAATGTGTGATCAAGAAGCCTTGCAGTGCCAGTAATATCCATGCGTGATCAGCAAGTACATTTTGGCTATAAATAGCCTTGTGCCTCATGGTATAATGTATTGAAGATTATCAATTTGCATTTTGTAATATCCAGTTAGAGTGAGAGAGGTTGTGGGTGTAATGAGATTTTGGGTGTGAGTCACTTTATATTGTATCTCTATATTTTCATAGTGAAATATTATTCTGTCTTCTCCCTGTGAACGTAGACATAACCAAACCACGTAACTTCTTATCTCGTTTGTGTGTGTGTCATTTTATTTTTTCTTGCCATTATTTTTCTCTTGTTCTCATAAACTCCTATTCGATCCTTATTTTATAACAAACTAGTATCAAAGCTCGGTTCGTATATTGCGTACAGATACTGTTCATAAATACGATACTATTCACTGAGAAATTTTTGGAGTGGTTTTTGAGATGTCGACCAAATACGAGATTGAGAAATTTGATGACAAAATTAGTTTCAGTCTTTGGCGCATTAAGATGCAGGCCCTGCTGGCTCAGCAAGGTCTAAAGAAGGTGTTGTTCGAGAAGGACAAGTTGCCAACAACTATGTCTAATGAAGATAAGGATGAGGTCGATGTAAAGACGCGTAGTGCGATTATTTTGAATCTAGCTAATGAGGTGCTGCGTGAAGTTATTGATGAAGACACGGCGGCAAAGTTGTGGCTGAAATTAGAGAGTCTGTATATGACGAAGTCTCTCACCAACAGACTTTACTTGAAACAGAGACTCTACACCCTTCGTATGAAGGAAAGTATGCCTCTTAAAGAGCATATTGATAATTTCAATATTATTATTATGGATTTGAAAAATACTGGTATTAAAATTGATGACGAAGATCATGCCTTTATTTTGTTGTGTTCTTTACCTCCCTCTTATGAGCATTTTGTTACCACATTGTTGTATGGAAAAGACACGATTAGTATAGAGGATATTAAATTCTCATTGAACTCTCAGGAGTTGAGGAAAAAGGTGTTTGGGAATACTGAAGATGAACAAGCCGAGGGTTTATTTGTAAGAGGCAAAAGTGAAACAAAGAGCTCTGGTAGTAGGGGAAAATCTAGATCTCATAAAAATATGGAATGTTACTACTGTCATGAGATAGGGCACATCATCAAGTACTGTCCCAACTAAAGGCAAATAATGGGAATGGCAAAGAGAAGGTTCAAGAAGCATTTTCTGTGGCAACTGTTACAATGAGTGATTCGGAAAGTGACAATTATGTTCTTATGACAACTTTGTGTTCAGGTATGTCATTTAATGACAGTTAGATTATTGATTCTTGTTGTTCTGTTCATATGTGTCCCAGTAGGGATTCTTTCTCTTCTTATAAAAAGGTGAAAGGTGGTTCGATTTTGACGGCGGACAGGAAAGCTTTTAAAATTTTGGGAATTGGAACAGTCAAGATCAAGACGCACAACAGGTTAGTGAGAACATTGTCAGATGTGCGACATGTACCGCATCTAAAGATGAATCTTATTTCAGTAGGTGTGCTAAACTCCAAAGGCTATAAGGTTGTAACATAGGGTGGAGTAATGATGGTCGTGATGGATTATCTTATGGTGATACAATAACAGGTGGAGCTTCTACAGGGTCTTTAACAGTTAGCAGAAATCTGCTTTCGGGTCTTGGCAAAAGAAGAGTTAAAAAGAGGAGTTACAATCCTAGTTCTCAACAGGGTTGTGAAAAGACTACACAACGTGGTGGGAGAATGAAATTTAATTTCAAATGGTAACCAAAATTGCAACAGTCCTTACAAGGAGGCAGACCTATGAGGACAGGTGTGATATTGACTTGCAATTATCTTGGTGGCAATGAGATAGTCCATTCAAGTGCCATTAAGATGTGTGGGAGGTAAGTAGTTGGTCGCAATAGAGATACAAGGAAAAGTCAAGGACGTCCTATTCTCCATAAAGGTGAGAAGATGACTTTTCATTACCAGCTGGTGGTTTATGGGCGGTTGAAGAAGGTTGCTAAAGGAGATGTCAAACTTAGAGTTTTCGAGGTTGCTTTGGATAAGGGTTTAAAGTTTGACAAAAATACTAGAGGTATGTATGTGGTTGCATAATGCATATATGGGTTAAAGAATGAGAGCCAGAGGGTTAAGTTTGAGGATGACTCAAACTTAACTAAAATTCTTAATTAATTTGTTTTGTGGAGAAGACAGGTTGTTTGGCAGAGATACAATGGCTCATTAAATTTTTCGTCAAGGTGGAGATTTGTTAAAATATTATGACTCAAAATTATGTCATCCACTTAGATTAGCTTTATTATTCATGGTCATCAAGTTTGGGCATGCAGATTGTTGATCACTTTTTTTGGAAATTGTGCAATCAATTTCACTTTGTTAAAGTTGTCACATTTTTCTTAATTCCTTGGTGCACAAGAATATTTGTATCACCCACTACATCAGCAATTGTCTTATATTTACAGTCAAATGATTTTGACATGAAGCACAAGATTTAGTCTTGCTGTGTGGGACCATCAACAATGTGCGATCAAGAAGCTATGCAGTGCCAGTAATATCCATGCGTGATCAGCAAGAACATTTTGGCTACAAATAGCCTTGTGCATAATGGTGTAATGTATCGAAGAGGAGCATTTTGTAATATCAGTTAGAGTAAGAGAGCTTGTGGGTGTAATGGGATTTTGAGTGTGAGCCACTTTGCTTTATATCTCTTTATTTTCATAGTGAAATATTATTCTCTCTTCTCTTCGTAGACGTACGCATAGTCGAACCACGTAAATCTTTATCGTGTTTGTGTGTGTGCCATTTTATTTTTTCTTGTCATTATTTTTCTCTTGTTCTCATAAACTCCTATTCAATCCTTATTTCATAACAGGTTCTTTCTCCACGTCGCACACAGACTTGAGCTCGCCGATTATGGATTTTGGATTAAGATGGTGGATATTGAAAGATCTGAGTACTTATTTGTTATGAAATAAGGATCGAATAGGAGTTTATAAGAACGAGAGAAAAAATAAATGACAAGAAAATAAAATAGTGCACATACAAACGAGACAAGGATTTACGTGATTCGGCTATGCTTACGTCTACGGAGTGAAAACATATCAAAATTTCACTATAGACATAAAGAGATATAAGGCTTAGTGGCTCACACCTAAAACCCAATTACACCCAAGCTCTCACAAACTTTTGTTTACTGATATTTAATAAACACACTCAAATTTTGGATGCTGAAACTCCATAGAGAGCAGGTTATTTATAGCCAAGAAATCATCAACTTGAGCTTACTGATCACTCAAGTATACTTGCTGACCAGCCATACATATAGTTGGTACCACAACTTGTTGATCATGCTTCTTGGTTGCCAAGTAGCTGATGTAAGAGGTGATGTAATTGCTGACCTCAAATTTGAGCCATATATTCAACAAATCTCCACCTTGGAAAAATTCAAATGAGCCACTGTATCTTTACAAAACAAATTGTTTTCTCCACAAAGCCTCTAAGGGCAATTTCAACATTTGAGAATACAGACCAAGTCCAAGCAATGCTTGAACTTGAGAGCTGGAATGGACTTTGTCATCATATCCACCGAATTTTTCAGCTGTGCCAATTTTCTTCAATATAGTAATTCGTTCTGATATGATATCCCGAATAAAATGATATTTGACATCAAAGTGTTTGGTCCTCTCACGATACATTTGATTTTTGGTCAAATATATCTCACTCTGACTGTCACAATAAATAATAGTTGAGCTCTGTTTCAAACCCAAATCACTAGCCAAACCTTTCAACCAAATGGCTTCCTTCACTGCTTCAGGGGCCGCCATATATTCTGTTTCTGTAGTAAAGAGAGCAACTGTGGATTACAAAGTTATAGTCCAACTAACTACACAACCTGAGAGAGTAAAGACGTATCCTGTTGGAGATCTTTTTTGGTCTAAATCACCAGCATAATCGGAGTCCACAAAACTAACAACACTGCTAAAATCATCACTATTTTTCTGATAAACTAAGCCAAAATCTACTGTACCTTTCAAATACCGAAGAATCCACTTCACGGCTAACCAATGTTCTTTTCCTGGATAATCCATATATCTGCTAACTACACTGATTGCATGTGAAAAATCAGGGCGAGTACAAACCATTGCATACATCAAGCTACCAACTGCCCTAGCATAAGGAACATGTGACATGCGCTCATTTTCCTCTTTGGACTGCGATGATAAAGCTACAGAAAGACGAAAATGAATAGCAAGTGGTGTGCTTACAAGCTTGGAATTTTGCATGTTGAACTGCTCAAGCACTTTCTCAATATAACTTTTCTGTGACAAACTCAACCTGCCAACTTGGCAATCCTTCTGAATTTCCATGCCCAAAATCTTCTTCCCTGCATCGTAATCTTTTATCTCAAATTCAGTATTCAACTGAAATTTTAACTTGTTGATTTTTGACATATCTTTTACAGCAATAAGCATGTCATCAACATATACCAACAAGTATA